TCTTTATCCACACACCCCTCAACCTTTAGGGAAATTGGCCATACAGTATAATGCTTTTCCTTGCCAGCATTCTGTTCTTGTTTCTAATGCATTATTCCAATATTCATGTTTTGTGTCCTGTACATTCGGTAAGTTCCAATTTTTAACTTACATCAGTACTTATTTTCACCTTTTAGATAACCAGAGAATTCATGTTATTCTTCAACAATTGGTTTGACTTGAAGTAAATTTCTGCCTACATTTCTTCAGGGCAGATATAATAAATATATCAATATCATTATGCGGAGATACTAGCTTTTTTGTTTTTCAGTCTAACTGTACAGTCCAGTTGTGTCCAGTTAATAATTCCAGCCGTCTATCATATTGACTGATGGGATTTTGTCAATGCCCCTGATGTTCAAGTGGTGCTCCAGGTATTATTATGTGTGGGTAATCTACAGTTAGATTTACAATCTAAGACTAATGAGAACTCAATAATTCACATTTTATCCAAGGACTTAAGAATCATTAAATTATTCTAAGCAGGATGTGTTTTTTTAAAATTAGGGTGTTCAGAAAAATTCAATATTTCCACATTTCAAGGAAGACTTGGGTATTGCTCTGAGGACTCCAGTCATATTTGGTATAACAACAGACTTCTGCAAGTCCAGATATTGTGTAATTTTCTCTAATTGTTTTTCCTCAATCCTAGCATCACTCAGAACAGCAGCATCAATGAAACAGACTTTCTTGTTTTCAATAACTGTTATATTAGGCATGTTATGAATGAGATGCCCATAAGATCTTAACCCACTTATTTTCCAAAACCTTTTCAACTTGATGGTACCAGTAGTTTTTTTTACTGTATTCAAATAAAAATCTCTGGCAAAGTTTCCAATGAATAATTCTGGCAACTCAAGTTATTATAATTATGTGTGGGTAATCTATAGTTAGATTCACTGTTATTTTTGGATCGCAGGGGACCTCTAGATAAATGTGTTTTTCTTATTTTGCCATTTTTTTAAGTTGTAGAAGGTAATGTTTTCTAGAACTTTTTAAAGGATTGTTGTTATAGTACTGTTTCTTTTTCAGGCTTAATATGGCAAATTGAAATGGATTTTATACTGCTTTTCTTAAATTGCATTGATGGAGGAAATGCTTACACTTAGCATATTTTTTACACAGGCTGCCACAGTTTTTTCCTATCACAATGTTACTAATTGCTTTTTGAAAAGCCAAATAAAGATTTTATTTTGCTTCTTAAGTAGAGCAAAGATAAAAGAAGATAGGGATGAAACTTATACATGTTTTCAGTCATGCTCAAAAATAAAAACTAGTGCTGTGATAATTCAATAAAAATACAATATACCTTTGGGCCTTACTTTGTCTGATGTACAGTGGCCTAGAGCAATGGTTCCCCAACCTTTCCAGCTCTGCACACCATTGGTGGCAATGGTGGTGATGGGGGAGGAGATGGTTCCGCGCAAGTGGAGCTTTGCGTGCAAGTGCACACATCTGCTGCTTGTGCAAATGTAGTTTTGTGCACTTGCCCACTCGCCCGCCAATGGGCCACAGCCTGGGGGTTGGGGATCCCTGGCCTAGAGGTGAAGATGCTAGCCTCCCACTTGGAAGGTTGATTGTTCAATCCTAGGCAGTGACAGATGTTTCTATCAGGACCCAAAGAGAAAATATATGCTGTGAACTTCATGTAGGCATCAGGAAGGGTATCCAGGCAGTAAACACTCAGCTCCATTCCGTCACCCTGACTCCACCCCAATAAAAAGGGATATAGGATTGCAAAATGAAAAAAGGAAGTTAGAAATATGCATATATATAAAAGAACAGTTCCTTCCGATCCACATATTTTTCTTCTTGGGAATTCTGAAAGATATAATCCAACATAGTCAAAGGGTATCAAATTGGAGAAGAACCTCATTAGAAATGGACACATCAAAAGAATGGATCAAATTGTAGAATATGCTATAAAGAAACAGGATGTCCTGCCTTGATAGAATTATCTTTTGGAATAAATTTTGCCCCACTATAACTACATACTACATAGAGAAAGAATAAGCAGCAAGAGCATATGTCTAAGTGGGAGAAATGAGCCATTCTTTCCCCTCTATTGATATAACAGCAGAACTACTGAATACTAAGGAAACACACATTTACCATACATGCAGTTATATGTTTTGCTTTTATTTGAAAAAATAGTAAATGTAATAAGAACACTGACCAGAAAGTTATTAAAAGCTTCATAGCAAAATATTGAGTCAACTCTGTTACAATATTTAGGCTTGAAATTCTAATAAGTTAACACCATGCCTCAATTCACTGGGCAAGTAATGCTTTCGTCACGAAAAGAGTTTATTAGAATACAGAGTTGGACAACCATAGAAAAAATATCTTTCGCAGTCAATTAAAAGTAAATTTTGACATATAACTATTTTGGGAGAAGCTAGTAAATCAATTCCTGAGTTATTTATATTATGTCCAACATCTTTCAATCAATTAATACCGTGATCTTGTAGGCAAAACCACAAACAAGGATGGACTACTTGCCTATTAAGCAAGAATAGGCTTCAGGGTGACCTTCTTCAATTTGATGACACTAAAATAATCTTGGGCTTTTAAATCTCAGACAGCATGGACTTTAATTTGCTGGCTCAAAAAAACCCGACATCTGCATAACACCAAATTGTGAAAGACTTCTCAGAGAGGCATGTGAATTTATTTCTAATGAACATTCACCCTACTAATTTAACAATAATTTTCAGTGTCAGTATTGCTGTCTTTGTGGCATTTCACAATCTGATTTATCACTGCAATTGGCTGTGTTACAGTAAAGAAACATGTTCTACAGGAGCTTCATAACGGATGATGGTAGGCATAATGAATTTCTTTTTCATGTTCAGAAAAATTACACTGGGCAACAGGACACCAATTCTGTTATTTAAAAAATTCATCTAAATTCACTGTCTTCTAGGAACACTTGTGTAGGGTATCTGCATTATAGAAAAAAATAATATTAGGGTGAACCAGTTACAGAAATCAGTTGGAGTTCTTATTTAGCTATTTTGAAATTAAAATAACAGACTTAATTTTGGAGTGAAGCAACTGTATCTAACATGGAAAAATTGATAAAAGATTTTTAAAAAATCTGAACGGTGATTACATCCATAATCTTCCAGTGGAAATCATGAAATGCCAGAACTTGACAATTCTATGTAGAGTAGACACTTCTCAACAATGGAAGCATAACAAAATTTCAGGTAAATAATTGTAACAATAAAGGAGAATATCTTAGCTGAGGGTTGAAATGAGGGGGTCCTTAGTGCTCCCTGAACTTGGTTGTTTTCTTGCAGACGTTTCACTACCCAAATTAGGTAACATCATCAGTGCAACCGGGCTCAGAGAGAATCAAGGACTTCCCTCAAGTAACTCTAAGGATATGTGTGTGGGTATGGGTGTGAGTCCTACATTACTTTAAACATTGTTTCTATATTACAAAAGGGCAAGCTATGTTAACACTTGTAAAATGTAAAATTCCCTTCTCTGGAGTTTAAGCAATATATGGCCCTCGTGATGACGAACTACTATGATCTCTAACCAGCTTGCTGAATCTCTTCAGTAAACAGACTAATGGTGGATGGGTGGGGTGGAAAGAGAGGATGAAGCAAGAAGTAGTGATAAAGCAGGAAGTGATTAAAAAAAATGTTTGTGAACACCTCTCTAACTATTGGTCATTTTTACCAGAACATATATCGCTCCTTGATAAACTGCCAAATAAAGATACAAGGACCTTTGTGTTAAACTGCATCAGAAATAATTTTGGGAAGAGGATGATAAAATTGTTTCAGTTTCCTCCCATCCAACCCTGGGTGATGAATAATAAAAGATCTAGCCTGTATGTCCTTCGATATAATAGTAGATCCATAATAATGGATCTTCTTCATTCATGAAATAGGAATTAGGTAGTTTCGGAAAATGTACATACTATTATTTTTAATTTGCATATTCCCCATTTTCCAGAAAATCACAAATATCTAATGTCATTTCATTTAACATTTTTCCTATATATAAAAGAAAAATGGGTGCAACCTATTGAAATAAATGGAAAGTTACTGAATAGGCGATATTTTAGCATTCTCCAATCATATACCTTCCAGATGTGTTAGAACTACTACTTTCAATGCTGGTTTGACATTCCAACATATCTAATTGGGAAAGACTATTATTTCAGTGAGTTTTGCAGGACAATAGCCTTGGATCCTCTGCTTGTAACATATTTGGCTTATATTCAATCCACTATGCAATTCTCCATGCTCAGACTAGATACTTTTGTTTTTTGAACAGTAGCAACTGAGGCAAATGACAATTCTCTCTGGTAGCAGATGAAAGCTTTTAGATACAGAAAAGGGGACAAAACAAAAACATCCAGAAATTTTGAGTTCATCTTAAGTACCTTTGAGGATTCTACAAATGATACCAAATATGACCTTGGTACTTCAGACTTTATATCTGTTTCCATCGTGAGCCAAAAACATCATTCTTAAACTTGCAGTCTCTGATGGTTCTGAACACTGAAACTTATTTAATCAGCCACAACTCTACTTTTAACTATGAAAAACAAAGCAAAACAAAACATCCTTATGTAGAAACAAAGAAGAACTGACTAGAAAGCAATTTGGATTTAAATCACTCAAACTTGCTGAACAATGATAAGTAGCACGGTAGCTGTAAATTAAGATATTATTTCTTAATCTACCATACAATTGCCACCTAATGCAATCACTAACCAAATAACATTATGTCAGGGCCATGTTTTCCTGAACAAGCTACTTAACATTAAACTTTTGTCATTGTGATGAAAAAAATATTTGCAAACACAAGGCAATTTTAATCAGAGAGAAATATTCAATAAGAATACGGTTGCACTAAAAGGAATGAAAGGAAGGGTTCAAAATGTTTATTTTATAAAATAAATACTGTCAAATATATTAACTGTAGTCGTCTGATCATCAAAATCTTGTTTCTGAAGTTCCACGCTTTAAATTGTTACTCAAAAACTCATCATGCTCAAAACTCAAATTATTGTGAGATCTGGAAATCATCAATAGTTTTTCTTTATTAGTAAAGTCTTTCTTCGCTGCAGCTGGTGGTACGAGAAGCCTGTCCATAGGGTCTTCCTTGTTTTCTAGTTTCATATAACCTTTGCTGTTACTCCGGTCCAGTCGTGGCCAGCTTGGATGTTTTCTTTGTTCAACTTGGACAGTGAGAGTAGAAGGACCCCTATCCAAGTCTAGGGATTTTGAATGTGCAGACAAGTGATGCAAAGAGGTGTTGGACCCGAACTGTTTTCTGGCTGCACCAGGTGATAAGAGCTGTCCAGTGCTGGCTCCAAGAGTCATTGAAGATTTGAACTGACTGAATGAAGAGTCTCCATATAAAGTGTTGCGTGGCAACAAATCATTGGCAGATTTGTAGCTATCACCGGTATTCATTAATGGGAGAGCCAAAGAATCCATGGACAAATTTCTAGGTCGGTCTCTACTCCTTGATGAATCCTCAGTGATATTGTCAATACTTGGCTCATCAATAACACAGTTATTCAGTTTGATTACAGGTAATGTGAAAGCATTAATGGAAGATGACACAATCGATTTTGTTTCACACTTCAGAGAGCCACTGCTTCTTTCGTCCCTCGCTTTCCCAGAGTGAGGGTAAAGGCCAAAGACTGAACCAGAGTGTTCCATCAGCAAAGGTGACATAAGATTTGGGATTGATTTCTTGGTCTCATTTCCAGCAAGTTCATCCTCTTCGTCATTGCTAACCCTTTGGAAGTTGCTTGCAAAGCCTGAGAAAGGAGCAATGGTATTTGCAGCCAGCCGTGATGCACAAGAGCTTCCACCATGCTTGATTTCATTCTCTCCTGCCAAGCCAGTGTAGGCACCGTTCAGCTGCCTTTGCTCACTGATTCTCAGAGTGTGGATGTCAATTACAGTGGAATAGATGTCCCTCATGTGTATGATTTTTGTCTCCTTGTCCCGGTTTTCATGAAGCATGGCATTTGCACAAATAAAAATAAATATTCCAATCCCCATAGTGAAAGGCCCCAGCATTTTCATTTTATCAGAATGTAAATGCTGCTCAAGGAAGCGCATAATAAATCCCCCTCCTCTTCCTATTAACTGAGTCTCATTTAGTGTCAGGCTGTCTTCAGGTTCCAGGAATGAGTCTTTTGGGGGCCAGTAACCAAGAATGGCCATAGCAATTCCGAGGAAAGAAATCAGCACTCCCAGGACAAGGAAGAACCCTGATGGGGAATACAGCCGGATTTTGCCTCGGACTACAACCACATCCGTCCTTGGCCGACGCTTGGCTGGTTTCTGTTCCTCAGGAGCTGGTGACGTTGCACGACTGAGATGGTGTTGGGATCTGGCAGAATCTTGCCTTTTTAAGGCAGCCAGTCCTGTTATGACTCCTCCGGTGGCTATCATAATTTTCTATTGTGATCTGGAATTGAAAGCAAAAACAAAAGACTTCAAAAAGTAACAACAGGCACTAAATATGAAGCATTCGGTACTTCTAACTCCTCAGAACTGTGTAACTCTAACCTGTAATTTAGTACACTCAGAGCTCTTCATAATACAAAGACTGAGTGTTTCGTATAATATACTGTATGCTGAATATATTCTGAAACTGCCTTATGTAATTATATATATATAAAAAATTACTTGTAAATCAAAACAGGTAGTCCTTAACGTACGATCACAATTGAGCCCAACATTTATGTTTGTTAAGTGACAAATTCGTTAAGTGACTTTTGCCCCATTTTACAACTTTTTTTTGTCACATTTGATAAGAGAATCACTGCAGCTGCTGAATTAGCAACCCGGTTGTTATGTGAATCTGATTTCCCCAATGACTTTGCTTGTCATAAGGTCTCAAAAGGGGCGTGCATGACCCAGGGATACACTGCAACTGTCATAAATGTGAGTCAATTGTCAAACATCTGGATGTAAATCATGTGGGACACTGCATTGGTCATAAGTGTGGAAAATGGTCATAAGTCACTTTTTTCAGTGCCTTTGAGACTTTGAATAAGCAAACTGTTGTAAGTCAAGGACTAGCAGTACATGGATTTCCAGCAGAGCAAAGAATCAACTACAATGTCCATAACAAATGAAATGTCTGCTCAATAGTAAAATATCTTATCTAGTAAAATTAGTAACAAAGAATATAGATTTTAGATGCCAGTCTTGAAAACAATTGTGATGCTATTTCTTGATTTTTTTTTCATAAGTCATTTCAAGTCATTAAAATACTGATATTTATTTGCAGGACCATATAGTGCCAGGCATTGCTTCATGTAAGTTCCTGATGTTAGTAACAAAGGGTTGGAACTGTGATTTCACCAATGCCTGAGATGGAAAAAGTGACAGCTAGATTCAAGATCGCCTCTGATGCTTCAGAATAAATTTATTTTAGAACAACATCAAAATCAAAATACTTTTACCTTTCAATTTGTATTATACAATAGCATCTGCATGATGGATTCCATGAATCTGAGCATTGTGCTATTTAAAGTTAGGAAATCAGGTGTTTTTTTTAATGAGCATTGGAAAACTACTATGAAGTCTCTATTTCAAATGAGATGAGACTGCATAGGTACAATAGTGGTGCCAAATCAATGGATGTATTTTTTTCTCTTCAGGGATTATTTGCACAAGTAATTAAAGCCTATCCGTCTCGCCCAGCAAGAAACAGAAACTTATTAAGAATTGACTTAGGACTACCAAGCAATTCCAGTAAACAGCGGCTAATTAATCCAATTAAGAATCAAAACCAAGAAGCAGAAGCTGCTTTAAAGAAAAAAGCAACAAGATACCTCTAATTAAAGGGCTACTTGGAAGAAAAAGCAAAATAGCATTTTGGAAATTCATGTCGAATAACCTGATATTGCATGAGGTTTAAGAGCAATATTGGTACAAATCAAAATTAAATGAAGCAAAATAAAAACAAAAAAACAATACTCCAGAATGTGAAGTTATTTAGGTTCTTTGTAAAAAATTTCATCGTGATGAAATGAGCAGTGAGAAACTAACCATTTTAAATTACACAACAGTCCAAGCCCAAACTTTATCCTGTTAAAAAGCAAAGATTTAGCCACTGAAGCTAAATGCATGTCAGATAGCAGGGGCCGATATAATAGACTGAAATGAAAGCATGCTTCAACAATTTATACCAAAGAGAGAGAAAAATGAAAATAGGAACACCCCAATTTACAAGGGAACGCGAAAAATAGAAAAAGACAGCGAGCGATTGGCTTGTTTGGGAAAAGATTTCTATGCTGAAACAACTTTTTCAAAACTTGAAACTCTATCTCTTTGCATAGACATTTATTGTAGGAAGTAAAAAGAGCAGCAGATCGGTGAATTCATAAGATGGGCTGGATTCTATGAAGTGAATAGTAGGTTGCGGCTGAAAGGACTTTTAAGAAAGAGCTAATGCTGCCTGGAGCAAGCACTGCAGATGCTTAGCAACAAGAGAACACCAACATGGAGCCTACAGACCTCTTGGTAGGCCTGGTGGTAGAGCAGGTTGCCATGACAGCAGTAGCACAAGAAGAAGAACTAGGTATACTACTGTTGGCCAGCCTCACAGCAGGGGCACAAAATCAGAACTTGGCATATCTGCTACAGATTTACTGAGACTAAAAACAGAGGTTAAGAGTGACACAAATAATCCTAGCACTGCATGGATGCAGGCTAATTCACACTTTAGATGTGCCACTATAAATCAAGACGGATTACAATCCACACATATACATTTAGGTAAGTAAGGATGGTGATAAATGATCATGCAACTTTGAAAAGGCAAAGACTTTCCTGGCAGGCCATACACTTTTCATGGAGAAGACCTGGCAGCTCCAGATGAGGCTGGAAAGTCCTATCTCAAATCTGAGGGAGATGCTAGCACTGGGTTAGATAGATCAGTAGTCTGATGTGCTGTCCCTAAGCTCTGAAGATATGTGATTTTGACAAGTCCCTCCCTCTTGCTGTGTCCTGTCTTTGGACAAGTCATTCCCACATCTAGTATGCAGAAGCCTACATACTGGCCAATAGATGGAAGCAAAGAGTTAGGATTTTTCTATATGTCTCTGCTGCCATATCATGATCATCTGGATTTCTGCAGCCGAGATATGGTCTTGTCATGCCAAAACATAGACCAAAAAACATGAATATGCATCTTTGACTGAGTTCTCCTATGACCCAGTCTCATGCTAATCCAGTATTGAATTATTGGCTGAAAGACATCTAATTGAGTCATTCAATGTAGATTATGAATTTGCTCTGTCTTCAACCAGCCAGCGAGGAATAAGACCACGTGTAACAGAGACACAGGAAGCCTTGGCACAGGGTAAATTTGTATGTTATCAGTTCAGTGATTACAATACAGAGAAAAACTAAAGACTGAGATTCTGCAGTCTATAATTCTGCAATTGCAAGCTATAAGTAAGCCTTGATCCTTATGTATCCAGATCAAGGGCTCCAAGGGTTTTGGAGGCTAAATCCTATTAACAGTGCTAGGCATGTTTAGCCTAAAGCACTGTGAAGTGGTATATAAGTCTAAGTGCTTTTGCTATTGCGATTCACTCTTTGGGCACAAACGACCTGTGTGACCTTGAGCCAATCTCTCTTTCAATCCTAGAAGAAGGCAGTGCCAAAGCACTTTTGAACATCTTGTCAAAAAAATTGAAGAGACCAATCCAGGCAGTTGCCTAGAGTCAACACTGACTCGAAGGCACTCACAAAGAGGGGAAAAAAATACAAATATGCTATAGTACTTTAACAGCAGGTTAGGAAAGCAAGAAATGTGTGAAGCAAGTTAGGAAAGCAAGAAATGTATTATTTGTCATAATAAAGAGCCTTAATACGAACGCCTACCCTGAAACAATAATCCTTCTTTGCTAGCTAAAGTATTAGGTAACTAAAAGCCTTGGGCACCTGTAACTGACTGATGAGATGATAAGATCAGATGAGCAAATTTGAGCTGAACATTCTGCTAAGCAGTTCTTCTCTGGTTGCTACTGCTGCTGCTGATAGCCTATTGCTAAGGCTGATAGAAAATTTGTTCAAGGAGACCAAATCATGTAAGCTTGACCTGTGACCCCTTCTCTTTTTCAACTGAGCCATGTAAAATATTACCCCTTTCAAATCTTACAAGCCATTGCCGTTCTTTTTCCACTTTCTAACTCTTGCCACCTCATTCTTGATGTACCTACCCCCACTCAGGTACTATTAAAAGACTGTCCTTTCAAACATCGCTTCTCTTCAGAACCATCTGTGGTGGCAATCACATCTTGTTGCCTCCATGCAGTCGCTCATCACTATCCAGCAGTTATCTGTAAATGGAACACAAAAAACAAAAGGACAACCATTTGTATGAAGCACAAGCTCTCCTGTGGATTGCCCTACTAAGCTCTTTAAATCATACTTCTTTCTTTTGAGATTAATCTTTTTTTTTCAATCCTGATTTCTCAATCTAGTAGATATGCATTTACCACAATAAAAATCACAACAATGAATTAAAAAGGGAAGTGGGGGTAGGAATTAATACACTGAGGCTGAGAACACTTTTTGTTATCCATCATGCCTTCACAAACTGGTTAGATTAATCAGAAAACCACATTTATCTTCCTTAAATAAGATTACAAGAAGCTATTCCTGAAGGCCCACCTGCCTTTTAAAAGCATAATTGCTTTTTTCTTACTCTAAAAAGCATTTCTAGTTTCAAGAGGTACAGCATTCATAGCAAATCAGCTGAGGAGGAGCAAAGAGGCAAAGAGAATAACAACACAATATACTAGCTTAAAGGCAATTATAATTGCTTTTCCCAAGCAGGAACACCAGTGTCAAAAGATATGCAGAGTGTATAATACNAATACCAAGCTTTTTAGGAATATGGATGTGAATATTATTACAATAGTGTAAACAAAATTAAAGGTCAAATATACTTCTAACCATAAGCTCCCTATTTGACTGCTATTTAACTCTTTCCATCTCAAGATTTTTTCCTTTTGTTTCTCCTTCTACATAACAGATTTGCTAAGACTGATGTACAATTGGGACTGATGGATAAATAGCTGGAAAAATTGTTTATATATATATACTGTATGTATGTATGTATGTATGTATGTATGTATGTATGTATGTATGTATATGTATGTCTTTGGTTATTCGGGTTTTCAGCTTCATGCTTCTAGGAGTAATATGAGATCGCAGCTGTTTCTTCCTTTTAACTGCCAGTGGGGTTTGAACTGATTGGGTGGGAGCTTGGCTGTGTTCTGATTGGGTGGAGATGTGTTCTGAGTGGTTAAGGGGATTGGCTGTGCTCTGATTGGATGGGGGATTGGCTGTGCTCTGATTGGATGGGGGAGTGTTCTGTTGGGGTGGGGACTTTGTTGTGCTTGGGTTAGTCTAAGTTGCAGGGGGAT